CGCCACGTTGTAACTTCAACAAAGCTGCAAGAGCCAGGTATGAATACTTTCAAAAAGGGGATGCACTTCTGGCTTCTTCTCACTCCCTAATCAAACTTTCATATTGAGTCAGCGTGATTTAATTCATCAAGACTACTGCCACTTGGGTTGTCATGGAGATTGATGACATGAACGACTTGAATTCTTAAGATCTTGGGCATTGGCTGTTCCCGGATGACCACGCGTTCTCAGGAAGATAGCTAGAAACCTTCGTGAGATCAAATGACTGCTGTTCACACACCAACTTCGGACATCATCTTAATAGTTCACTAGCAACAGTTCATTTTTGAACAACTTCATCCCAAAATGCCAGACTGCAAGAATTAGCGCAGTTGTGAACTCAAGAACGATAAAAAAATGACCTTTTCACCTTCAAAAGCGTCGCAATCAATCTCCATTCCACATTTTCCTCTCCGTCAAACATTCCGCGCGGCTGCTGGGCGATCTCCGCTCCGGACGGTTGAGCGAGCGCAAACATTTGGGAACCAAGACATATCACATATTATAGACTCATTCAAGCAGCCGTCGTGAGAAATGCGTTTCAATCAGGTGGGAAATTTTGAAGCCTTATCTCGGGCCTTTTTGATGAGCCCTGCAGCGAGTTGATTCATCTCGGCCGTGGCCTCACCCGCACAAATGACACCCTTCATGTTTCATCCATGATTTCTTCCGTCTTGTGAAGCTCATCCTGCTTTTACAGGTTATGAGGGCCAAGGTTAAACTCTTCGCCTGCCATGCATAGAAGAGCATAAATATCTGCCTAATACCGCCCCGAATGATACCACCGTTCACTCTACCCTCGTGCTGGCGCCTTCAAGGGAAGCTTTTGAAGAATCGATCTCCTTCCCTTGCCCCCATACCTGAGATCCTCATGGCATTGTCCGGCTCTGTCCCCACAGGCTCTATTACGCTTCCAGTCTTGCGCAGAATCGTCCGGAGAACTGTGATGAAACGTCCAGCTCCAACCCCTAACATAATCCACGAGACGTCCTGATACATGACTTCATCCACATGTGTCCAGACCCGACATTCTGGCGTGCAGTACAGCTTGAGCCTGAGAGAACACTGAGGCCAGCATACCACGGTGTGTGATTTCATGGTTGCCTGTCGATGCGTCAAGCGGCTCGGAAATTGATCATCAGAAAGGGAGATTGATCCCCCGGAGCATGCTCCGGACGCAGTCACATCATCCACCGTCAAAAGTCTCTCCGGGACGCAGAATCATACGGCAATAAAGCTAGAACGGGGGGTATTCCATACCGAAATCATGCCAGCAGCGTTCGGTTGAACTGGACCACCAGAGACTATTTTGTATCCACTCTCTAAGCACCTTTTGCTCTTTGATTCCGTCAGCTCATGTAAGCTGGATCCAAGTGACAATCAGTCAAGCATGGTGCGCACCCTGATTAAATTTCTCTTCTCCGCCATCATCTTTAGAACGGCACCGCGACGGCAGTGCCACAAAAAGCTGCCCCGTTCTTGACGCCGTATCTTCCACGTGCTCTAATACCAGGGCAGCAGGTTGATGAATGATGCCATCTTGCCTGACTTCTAGAACGCTAGAGGTCCGTGAACTTTTCACCCAAGTCTCGAACGCTGTGGTCTTCGAAGTCGCCGCGCCATGCAGGTCTCGGAACACTAAGGTATCCAACGATATTAATGACAGCTTTGCAGAACACTTCTTTTTGTCCCAACGAGAGTCTCTGCAGCAGTATCTGGGGAGCGCTGGGGTGGCTGGCTTGCTTGACTCGGCGGTCGTGCCACCATCCGCAATGCCAGTTCCGGCAACCAGGAGGGGCAGACTCGATAGGCAAGCGCCATTATTAAGGGCCTAGCGCGAGAGAATGGCAGTTCATCATCTTCCACGATGGGGTATGCTTCACGTTAGCTATTAAATCGAAAGGTCAAACGCTCACGGCGATGCATTTGCGACTCTCCAAGGTGGCAAGCGACTGTTTGACGATTCAAGAGAAGGCGAATTCATCGAATCAGTTGCCTTCATCAGGAACCCTCCCATAACTTCGCGTCCGTGCGACCGCAAGCCGGCAGGCAGACTGCCGACTTTTCCCACTATTCAGGCCAGGGAGAGGTGCCATCTTGGAGTCTGACGGGGAACTTTCATTTCTCCCATCTTGAGGGTTTTGGGGTGTTCATTCGTAGCGGTTCCTCGAGCAGGGAAAGGTTTGGACTCGTCCTGACGACGGCAACCCAAGCCATCAGTAACTCTTCCGGTTCAGTGATGGTGAAGCCCATGAGCACGCCGACATCGTTATTGTCAGCCCCTGCAGCTCCACGGGATCGCTCTTGAACTAGATATTAGAATCCTTCGCGCATTGACTCTTGATCCAGGCATACATTGTTTCTCATGATTATCGCACAGCTCTTGTAGCTTGCATTTCTCGTCCTATGTTGCTTTCGACGAGAGATCAGCACCGCATTTGCATTTAGCTAGACCATCTCTGAATACCTCGTTAGTGTAGGCGTCTATATTGTTGACCAATGCTGCGTGGGCTGGCGTCTTAGTCTGTTTGTAATCGTAGATAGGAGTGGCAATGCACCGTCCTTTTTGGCCTGTTATTATTGGTCCATGGATGCATGCCCAAGCTCCTCGCATCCGTCTGGGTCTGCGCAATGTTCCCTTCATGGAGATGCGTTCTTGCCGTCATCAACGATGGAGGCCTTCTTGGCTTGGCTGTGGCTGTGGCTCGGTCTGACTTCGTGGTCCTTCGCGATGGTTTGACAAGGTCTCGAGAAGACGGGTATTGGATCTTGAGCGGTGCCTTGGGGCGGCGTGGAGTCATGTTCGACGCTGTGTGATGAAGTTCATGCGACAGATTCGTACCGAAGCTGCAGGCCGTTATCTAATCAGGGCAGAAAGTTGACTTCGGAACCGGGCGCGACTCGGGGGTGGACTTCATAAGCCGAGATTCGGGGCAGAGGTTGGGCATGGCTGTGTTATCAGCAGATGTCGCGCGAAAGTGGACGGTCGTGGAAAGGCTTCAAGAGACGAATATGGCTGGTGTCGATGGGTGGCCTCCATCGCAGTTCGAAGCGGATGCTATGGCCGACGACAAAACGAGAACATGAGGTGTGATGACTTCTAATGGAATGTTGTGCATCGCGCGGCATCCTCGGGCAATAGAAGTCAAAGAGGTTAGCGAGGAGAAGATCAGCGGACGAGGATCGACGGATGGGGCAAAAACGGTGCTAATATGATTTGGCATTTGTTGAACCAGTCAAGGGAGGACCGCAGACTGCAGCGCCGCGCCTGGGATGAAAGACGTCGGGCTCAAGACCGGAGAACCGTTGAAGAGCGGGTGTTATCAAGTCCAAGAGCCAAAAGGAGGAGTCACTGGCGACTGTCCGAGGCGGTTGAAACAAATATGACGTTTTTCAGCATCAGCATTAACTAGATAGGGAGCAGCAGCAGGTGCAGAGAAGGAAATAACATTGCTCCCTCGTTGCATAGCACCTGCTGAGATGGTCCCTGCCCCCCCCACCTGGGAATATCAGGCGTGGCAGCTTCTTTATTTTCCGCCCATAACTGTGGCACCTTTCGCGAGAACCTGCCACGACCCTGATGGACTGTGGCAGCTTTTGACCTGTATCTGCCCCAATTCAGAGGTACGTTCCTCACTCAGCGCAATATCGCGAATACCTGCACCTCTGTTCATAGCTTACATTCACTTTCTAGATTAATTCTTCTATAACTATAGCCTACTACTGAAACAGGCATGTATGCATAGATTCTGTTATATCTAGCGATATGGGAATGTGAGCGAAAGGAACGATTTCCACACTAGAGTTTGTTTCGTCAGGCGAGCTCCTTGACACGGCCTGGTGCACTGAGTATTGTGCATCGCCGCAGACGGGGAATGCAGCTGCGGGGTCGACGTGTTCTTACAAGTAGCGCGAAATTGCGAATAGGGGTCGTGATGAGCGATCGGAAGTAAAAGACATTTGATTTTAGCAGTTGTTATGCCTGCGCGGCCACTCTTTTTCAATCTCGACTCCGGAAACGCCTGTCTGCACGGTCGGCAACGATGACGTGGAGGCGGACGCAAAGGCAATACTTGCAGGGACCCGACTTACACGTTGGCCACGGCGGCGCGCGAGCGGGTGAGCATCTGGCAAGAAGGGCTTGACCCCAAAATCTTTAGCTACCGACAATCATGACCTTGAATCATGTCGCTTGCCCATCTTTGCAGGACTCCAAGCCTAGATCGTCGTGCGGATTGCCATTATCGAGGCCATCATCTAGGAGGAGGAGCCTGCGTGTCGTGACCTCCAACGTCACACATCCAACGTCACGCATCCAACGACGTATCTCCAACCAACCACTCTGATCCAACTTCATCAGGCAGATTGGCCCTGTGCCATCGGCATCGATTCAATACTCTCGTCGACCATCTCTTCCTGCCTGAAAGATCGCGTCGACCATCTCTTCCTGCCTGAATACTCTCGTCGACCATCTCTACTGCTTGCTTGTGGTGTCTGGCACGCTTGCTGTGGCATTTTGCACCGTGGCGTCAGACCTGACTGATACCGGAGATATTGGCGATTGCCGGCCAAGTGGGACTCCACCCATCGGTATTCTGTCATCGGCACCGTGTTCCCCATCTCCAGCAAGGTCTCCTGCATCGTCTGATACCTCTGACGAAAGGGAGCTGATACCTCTGAACCAAGTACCGTTGTTGTCTACCTACTACCCTTCAGCGTACTCATACGGCCTGAGTTTTCGAGACCGTGCACCATCCTCGGCATCATCGGAAACGTCACGTGGTCCTGACCAGACAGACGTTACGCCAACTGTTCTCTTGTCACGACCATCTGGGTTCGATTTGTCTGGAGCCGTGCTGCATCCTCAAGACCTCACAGTAATCAGAGCCCAATTATCGGCCCTGCCTCCGCATGACGTAGCAGCACTCCAATCATTTCTGTCTACATTGTCGTCTGCAAACATGAGCAATTTGACTACGTCGACGGACTCGACCGTTCAGGCCCGTCCGCCTGACTTGACGTGTGGAACGTTCTCGGGCAAAGACGTTGCTGCTCGAAGATGGCTCAGTCGCCTTCATTGGGATTTTGAGCGTGCGGGTCACCAGACTCTTGATCCGAGCCAAGTCATCAGAACCATCTCCATGCAGTGTGATGGCGAGGCGGCAACCTTCCTGGACTCTACCCCAGCATTGGCTGACGCGGTTGACCGAGCTGAGAACAAGCAGGCTACCAAGGCGGACTTGGACAAGTTGGAACAAGCCCTTCGGGACCGATTCCCTGCCAGACTGGTGGACGAATCAAACGCCGTTGATACCATTGAATCCCTTCACCAAAAGAGCGGCGAGCCATTGGCCGCGTATTACAACAGAGCCGTTGCTGTCCTGAACAGCGCTGGTTGTAGTGATCGGAATACCAGTGGGGACAGCCTCAATCAGGCACAGCAGGTCCTGCTGGGACAGATCATCCGCCAGTTCATCAAAGGGCTGCATGATCCAGCACTGAGGCATCAGTCCATTAGCATGTCGGCACTGACTGCTCAGGGCCTACCCGAGGCATTCCACAAGGTCAAGACTTCCCAACAGGTCCTTGATGAGCGAAAGGCAGAGGAGCAACATAAAGCGGCTGCCAGTCGTGCTCGAATGCTAGAGGCAATTGTGGCCCAACAGAACCCGTCCGTCCCGGTGGATCACCTCTTGGCCCAGCAGTTTGGTCAGATGGCTATGCAGGGTCATCAAGTTGGAGCGTACCATTCAGGGCTGACTGGGAGTCATCCGGCACCGATGCTGCCGCAGGTGGTTCAGACCCAATGGGGACACCCTCAAATGCAGGCCTTGCCGTATCAGCCCCCGACGCAGGGTGGCCAGCAATTCCCAGCATACGGTCCAGTGCAGAACCAAGCCGGCCAATATGGAACTGTTCAGAGTCAATGGTATGCACCAAACACTTCTGATCAGACGAATCGGAATCAAGTTGCTCAGGGCAACCAAGGTCAGTACAACAATCAAAATTACTGCGGACAGAACAATCAGACCCAACAGCAACAGTTTCCGCCCCGAACAAACAGGCCTAACCGAGGTGGCTACCGAAGCGGCCGAGACGTGGGAACCGATTTCTCCCGACGAGACCCGAATCTGGCGAACCTCCCGCCCCGAAGCGAATCAAAGAACCCATTTGTAAATGGAGCTCAGATGCCAACAGAAGGTGGCATTGTCTGCTGCACCTGTGGCTGTGAGGGACACAAGAGCCCTTAGTGTCGAGGACCAGAGCTACAGCCGTGGGAAAAGGCCTACATTCGTGCACTTCTCTTCCCATCTACGAAGAGTTTTACACAGAGTCAGCACCCGCCCAAAGGAATGGTAGACGTCCATTCGGCGCAGATCTACTTTGCTGAAATGATGAGCCATCACAACTACTCAGCGGCGCTTACTCCAGTTGCCCCGACAGACACCACTGTACAGACGGAGCTGAATACGCCGTGGGATGGCAAAGCGCCTGGCAGCTGTCATGTCGAGATCGTCCCTGAGGAAATGGACCTGTGTCCGGTGTTCACTCTCTTCGATGAAGAATGCGAATCAGCGCCAGACCCATCGACTACCGTACCTGAGCAACCGCCATCGTCATTGTCAGCGGGCGTGGCGTCCGTCCTGGAGGACAGCTCACTCAGCGCCGATCAGAGGGTGGCGAAAATCTGTACGCTGGTGGCTCAGGCGGGACCATCCGGCTCCGGAGATGCATGGATGAATACTGTTTTGAACAAGACGGCCAATCGCAAGATCAACAACCCAAACAATTCCGCTCGCAAAGACCGGAAGGGAAAAGCAGTGGACAGATCTGGCTTTGGAGAGCAGATTGCCCATGCCGAAAGAGATCCAGCTGTTCGGGCCCTTTTCGATGTTTCAACCCAGCGGACGACGGGACGCGTGGATGATGTGCTCAACTCGGTGGAGGATGATCCTGCCCCTCAGAAACGAAGCCGGAGAGTGGGATTGGCGCCGATCAAAGCCCGTGCTGATCTGCCTCCTTTGGATCTGATTGATCTGGCCCGAAAAATCACCTTCGACCTCTCCCTTGTGTATCTGATGCGACTTTCACCCGAGTTCGCAAGACAGTTGAGGGCTATGTCTGGACGCGAAACAACGAGAAGAAAGCGCTCCAAGAATGCTCCTGTTGAGGTTTGTGCTGCGAGCTATGTCCATCAGGGCCATATTGTCACAACCAAGGACCCAACGGCGAATATTCGAGCCTTCTCCAAGAACTATGCAGCGACCCGACCCTTCAGAGTGGATTGCATTTTGGCAATGTCAGACAGTCGCCACCGATTCCCAGACAGATCTGTCCAAGCGGATCAAGGTAGTGAGATGAATATTATCTCGCCGAGGGTTGTCAAACAGTTCGGTCTTGTTCGGCACCCATTGTCCGGTATTGGATTCGAAGGGCTCCGAATGACTACGGCGGAGGGACGAAGCTGCACCATCACCCACTTTGTGGCAATTCAGGTCATAACGCATGGAATCAAGCGTGAGCTGTGGGCTTGCATCAGACCCGAGGACACGGATCAGACTTTGCTTCTGCTGTTGGGCCTTCCATGGCTGTACGATGTGCGGGCTGTGATTGATGTGTTCGGAGCTCGCGTCATGATTGGGGATACCTTCGTGGATGGGCCACTCATGGCTGCAGCGACAACTCACAACCTGATTCTTGGACCTGCGGGATCGGATCCGAATGCATTCATCCCGGACCGAAGCCGTCTGTTGACGCTTCTGGATGATGACTCGGATGATTCAGAGGAGGAGCAAAGCAGTGATGATGACTCGGATGTGTCGGAAAACGCCTGATTCGGCCCCGACCTCGGCAAGTCATTAAACCGCCGTCTGTTGAGCACAAAATGCCTTCTCGACAGGAACGCCAGGATTTTGGACCTGGATATTCACATCTGCTGGACGCAAATGCTGCATGGCTGTCCTTCCATGCTCCTCGTATCGACCGTCCACCGCAGGTGTTGCATGAGTATGAGCTATTTTCAGCGCTGAGCTGTCAACACCAAGATGATTTACGGCCATGGACTTCACTTCTGTCGGAAGGAATCCCATCATCATTCGCTGCCCAGATATCCGCACCAAAGCCAGTTGGGATGACGAAGTTTCCCGTCGACCGCCGTGTGGAACTATTGACCATGGATGTGTCTACTCCGATTGAGGTGATTACCGAATGGTGGGACGAGGAACCTCTGATTTTGGGTCCGAATTTTCCGGACAGTGCTGTTCTTGAAATCAAACGAACAATGTATACGTATCGCGAGCTCTTTTGTACGACGCTGAGCGAATTGCCTCCAACAGACCTTTATACCCACATTCCCCGTCTGAAGGAGGGTGCAACGCCTTGGAACTCCAGCAAACGGCGCCGATGGAATGCTACCCAAAAATACTGGCTGCATCGGCTTATTGGAGAGGGCATCGCTGGAGGACTGTACGAGTCGACATTGGCAGCCAATGGTGAGCTCTCAGAATGGTCGGCTGAGCCGGTATTAGTGCCAAAGACTGAGAACCCTTAGGGGGAGCATCGCTTGACGATAAACTACCACTTCGTGGATGAGGAGTTGCCGGCCACGTTTAATCCGCTCCTTCGCGAAATTCATGAGAACTTGGCAGACCCGCGCATCCAAACATATAGCTATTTCGATCTCAAATATGCGTATTGGTCCTTATTAATCTATCCTGATTACTGCTATATTTATGCCTTTAACGTGCTGGAGAGACTGCAATTGCAGCCTACTTGGGTTATGTAAGGGGGATGATTGTTATGTTATGTAATGGCTGAATTCGGCTGGATCTTTTTGGGCCTGATTCCTGAACCTAACCTAGAACCATCACTGCTGACGCTGTTGTAGCTGGGCTAAATGGCACCGTTGGAGATTTATTTCGACGACATCTTTATGAAATCTGAATCATGGGAAGTCGAATGGGCCTTTGTTAGAGATCATCTTCTGCCCCGACTTCTGTGGGCTAAGGTTTGCCTGTCCCGTAAGAAGATTGCCCTTGGCATGAACTTAATTGTCGCTGTGGGTTAGGTCTACAAAGTTGGAGGAATTGTGGAAATTAAGGCTGATCGAGTGGCGAAGATTCAGGAATGGCTGGTGCTAACTTCTCAGACTGAGGTGAGGGCATTCCTCGCGTTGACTGGGCTGTGTTGTGTATGGATGAAGAACTTGTCTGAAGTTGCCCGCCCTCTCTACTGATTGACTGGGTTTGTTCTATGGTAATGGGGGCCATTGGAGTTGGCGTCGTTTGATCTCGTCAAATCTCTCTTGGTAGAGGCGGTCACTCTATATGGACCTGTTTGTGGGGAGCTGTTATCAGTGTATACTGATGCTTCGGCATACGCAGGCGGTTGTGTGGTGATGTAGAATCAGATGGGTGAATTGGTTCTAATCCTTTACGACTTGTTCTTGTTCACTAAGCCGCAGAGAAATTATGGCACCTACAAGTGAGAACTCTTGTTGATTGTGGAGTTCTGTTGGGGATATTCCCATTTCTTCAAGGCTGAGGATGTATTGGTGATCCATACCGATCACAAGCCTCTGACCTGGTTTCTGTCGTCCAGCCATCACGACGGCATCTGCGCTCGATGGGTGACCGAGCTTCGGCTCTTGAACATCCGCATCGAATATATTCCTGCACGCCGAAATGCTGCAGCAGATGCCTTGTCCAGAACGATCTTTCCGTCTGACGACTGTGAGGATTCAGAGCTGCTTTTGCCTCATGGGGAGATGGATCTGGAGGGACGATGGCAATGGAAAGACGGAAAGGGAGGATATGCCGAACTCCTTCAGTCAATCGAGGCAACCGTCACCAGTGAGAAAGCACGCCTGACCGAGGTGGCGGACAAGGCCATTCAGCACCTGTTGGACGGGACCGAACCGCGTATTGAGAAGGCCACTGAGGACAGAGCGGAGCGCTCAGCTTCAGCAGCTCATTGTGAGCTCAGCCCGCTGCCTCATGTCAATATTCCGTGGAACGATACAGAGCGGTTCTGGAAGATTCTAGAAGAAATTGTTCCAATGGCTCTATCGTTGCAAATCCTCAAGGCACAATCAGCCCTATCCAAAATGCCCCAGATGAAAAAGTGGTTACAGGACGAGTGGTACTCTGATATGTGTGCGTACCTCGTTGAGGGCGTCACTGACCGGTTGGATCGCAACGCTGTGGCTTCGGTGCGGACGCGCAGTCGACCATACTTCATTGAGGAGGGGATTCTTTGGCACCAAGGCCCGAATGGAGCGAGACAGCGCTGTTTGATCAGATCCGAAGTGTCGCAGGCGTTGAGAGATGTTCATGATGATCGAGGACATTTTGGCCCCAATCTGACGCGGCGGAGGCTGGTCGCCGGAGCCTTCTGGCCTGAGATGGCTCGAGACGTGGTGGACTTTATTGCTGGGTGTTGGCCCTGTGCGTCTTAAGGTCCTCGGAAGCCGGCTATGACGGAGTTGCCATTGTCGAAGATCACCGCGCCTGTGCAGGTAGTTGGCTTGGATCACTTGGGACCGTTACCAAGGACGAAAACTGGCTACACCCTGATTCTTGTGTGGGTGGATTACCTATCCCGATTCCTTTGGGCTATCCCTGTCAAGTCTGCATCAGCTCTGGATGCTGCGAGCTGTTTGGAAGACTGGATGGATGAGTCGGGGTTGGTCCCAACTCTTCTGTACCCGGATGCAGGAGGGGCGTTTACGTCCGCGGAATTTGCCCTGAAAATGGACAAACGGGGAGTTCAGGTACAGCCGGCACCTGCGAAAGCACACAAATCTGTCGGGATGGTTGAGACGCATATTCGAATCCTCTTGGATGTCATCACAAAATCGATACTGAGCCGAAAGTACGAGGCTGATGAATGGGACGTGAACCTTCCCCGGGAGCTGCTGAAGGTCAACACGCGGTTTATTCAGTCCTTATTGTTCACGCCATATGAGATTTTGTATGGGTTCATGCCACAGCCCCCAGTCTTCGCTGCCGGATCGTTTAAGGTTGGAGCTGAGTGGACGCCGCCACCTGAGAGTGAGCTGGATGAGGCGGCAATTTGGTATGTGGCAAGAATGGAGGGAGTCAGGCGTGAAGTTGCGGATCGGATGTCGGTGACCGCGGCGGCACAAGCTGCTCGTCATGATCAGCGGGCGTACCAACCCTTCAGAGCCGGAGATCTTGTTATGGTGGTTCAGGAGGGCAAGCAACCAAAGTTGGAACCTCGTTGGCGCGGACCGTTCGCGGTGAAAGCACGAGTCGGACGGGCATCGTATGTGTTGGAACAGTTGGATGGTACTCCTATAGCTCACGCAAGGCATTAGGACCATCTCAAGCTCTTCCGGCCTCGTACCGGGTATCTGCAAATTGGGTCGGATTTGACACTGCCGTTCTCGACGTTGCTGGGTCGGAGACGAAAGCGAGGGAACCGAGTGGAAAACTGATGCAGCATTGTTGTTCTCCTTTGTTGTTTTGGCAGGAACACTGGGAGTGCTTTCCGAATGAGGAACTGGGTGGTGTATTAATTCTTTTTAGGAGGCTGCCCACAGCTCCGATTTTTCAGGCAGGAAGAGAAAAAATCCACACATTGCAATTATCACATCACCAAAGTCTGCCACACCCACACTTCTACGACCAACTCAGCACCTGGGTCGTTAGGATGCGCCGCCATCTCTGCGTACTTCTTCGATCACCTGTGATCGATCGGGTCTGACGTTCTGGATCGATTCCGTTTCACCTTCAAAATTGCTTACCACCAGTCAATCTGATTGACTGTGGACGACAACATCTTGCTTACTTCTGAATTCTCACTGCAGACCGCTGACCTGTGCTCGACCACCTTATTCACGACCTAATCTATACCTTACCGAGTTATGTTCAGACTCACCGGAAGTTTTCGACCTACCTTCAATCTGCTGTTCGGGCAAGCATACTCAGCTCCATCATTCCTCGCGCTGGATCCACGGGTCATCAACCTTGAGACAGGTCTGATTCATCAGCCCGATTTCTGCGGCAGGTACCACTATGGCGTTCGACAACATTGGTGGCGCTGATGTTGGGGAGCTACTGGGATTGAATGAGAACCAAGATGACGCTGTTCCCTTGGGCCAGATCCACGGCAATACGTCTGCAAGAGTTGCCCCATTCATTGGACCACTTCCGGCCGGCCATCCTGGGTACCAGCGAATGGGCTCACTGGCGTGGAGAACTGGGAACCAAATTGTGATGGAGGAGCCCGCCAACCGAATCGGTGCCGATCCGCCGCAGCAGATCGTATTGCTGAACCAAGATTACCAATGGGTGACAGTCCGCGTACTGTCTCGAGCAGTCAACTTCTATAACTTCCCGGATCGGAAGTCGTCAAGGAAAATTCAGAAGCAAATGGAAAGCACCGAGAACTCCTTCTACGTTGGGATTGAAGGCCGATCAATGACCCCTGTGTTTGCTGCTGGACAGTCCAAGGCTTCGAAGCGAGAGATCACCGCCGTTACCACCAAGTACAATCAGGTGAATTTCGCTAATGGATCCACAAAGGCTGTGGCTGGATTCAATATCCCAGCTGTGGACATGCTCAGTGGAGAACAGCAAATGCTCTTCATCAAGCGCCTGGCACTGGGCCCAAACCTGTGGCCGGAGGATGCTCCCCAGATTCAGCTCCCACCTGACGACACCATTCGAGCTTACCTTCGAAAATGCGATCAGCAATGGTCACGAGGAATTCCTCTGCGCCCTTTGACGATGGAGCCGACTGCGCAGCCCTCTTACGACAACTTGCCGACGACAGATCAGAATCTTTGGGATGGAGCGTATCTCTGGGTGGTCAACCTGAACAACAAGCCTATTCCTCGAGCCATGGTTGACAGAGTGGCTGCTTTTTTGGCTCGATACCCATATGATGTCCAATCATTGGAGCTGAGTGTGCTGCTCTGTTTTACGTTCTGGTACTACAGAAATGCACCACCTAAGACAATTTTGGAGAGTGCAGCTTGGGAGACAGAGGGTCGACTCCGTCCAAACGGGGGCCTGCCGCGAGTGGGCCTCGGCGAATTTCTGCTGCTGATGCCGCACTTTATCCGACTTCACGACAGCTTCGCCCTGGGCGCATATGCTCATCCGTTCCGATTTGTTGATGCCGCCCGACAAACCGATCAAGCTGTATTCCCGGAAACACATGTGATCCATCCAGGTGGAATTCACGACGGCGAGATCACGGACCTGATTACGGCAATGGGTGTCGAGCTGATCGATTTTGTGCGTGTTAGCCCGTCATCATGGGCTGGATCTTCCCTGCCGGATATTCAGGGCCGCTCAGTCTTTCCCGACCGCGACGAATCCATTTGGAGAGACCTGGCTTTGCCTGATGTTATGTCGGTGGGACACCCGGGCTACCAGGGGAATACGAGAAAAGATCCGAGCCAAGGATACAGACTTGTCGTGATGCCGGAGACGTTGGTGCCGGCTCATTGCCAGCGATCCGTGGTCCGACGCGGTGTCAGACAATTGGGGCCTGGTTCTCTGCAACCCTACACCTTGAATGAGGCAAAAAGATACGGCGCCGACGAGGAGGTGCCATTGCTCTTTTGTGCGCCAGACATTCAGATCCGGCGACCATATCAGGCTCTGCCTATCTCAGACAACCACGGCATTCCGCCCCCGTTTCCGTCATCCGACCCGATGCAAATCTTCGAGGCATTCCGACTGACCCGAGTTCCGTTTGAGCATTTGCTGCATCCTACTGACATCGAGAACCTCAGAACCCTTCAACGGGCAAGATGTGTTCAGATCCAAGTTGCAGGAGCGTCGATCGGGGATCTCTGTGTCATCCACCCGTTTGTTTTGTCTTAGAACAATACACCACTCAATAGTCAGGCCCAACAGGCAACAGTGCGCAATCTATTGGCCCGAGGCCCGCCATTGGTGTTACATCAATACAACTTGGCATTGCGAGACCGAGTGGGAAGAGCACAACGCGAGCGGGTACCTCTGGAGTCGATCCATGTTGGCTCTGACGCCCTGCCAGTGTGGGATGGTCTCCCAGCTGCGTTGGCAACCCGTCGGGATTCTGCCATGGTTCTGAATGAACCGGAAGGATTTCGCCAGAGGCGAAAATCAGTTGTGCTGATCCAGCGCCAACAGGAGCAGGAATTACAGGACATCAGAGCTGGTCGAGAGCTGTTGCAACAATGGGCACCTGGCGTTCCTATGCCGCCTATGCCGGAGCAACCGCCGGTGAGGCGTGCGATGAATGCCCCGAGCCTGCCGCCCGGTGTACCGGATGACCAGAACCGACCTGATCAATCACGACGATGGACCAGATTCGACCCCTTCATTTCCGTCAGGATGCAGCCGTTGCTCCAGCTCCGAACCCCTTGGCATTGGCGCCGAATGGACAGGTTCAGCTTGATCAATCACGGGGACAGGTTCAGCTTGATCAATCACAGCAGCATGATCGGAGTCAACTCCTTCAACACCACCAGGATGCAGCTGTTACTCCAGCCCCGAACCCTTTGGCACCGGTGCCGAATATATACACCCCACCGTCAGTATCCCCAGTGCGTCGAGAACGCCAGGTCGAAAGGGAGCAACCCTTTTGGGTCCGACCAGAGAATCAGCAGGTGGTACCTTTTGGACAACCGTCAAACCGGGCACAATCAGCGAATCAAGGAGTGGTGTGTCATGACCGAGTCATGGAGAGAGTTCTGCAGGTTCAGCAGCGATTTCGAGAACGCATTAACCCAGATGAAATCATCCTGGATCTGGAGGACTTGGATTTGGACGACAATCATAACTCTCGGATCAAGCGTGAAAGCACCCAGCCGCCTGGCCGCAATCGACAGGTTAAGCGTGAGGGTACTGAGCCGCCTGTCCGCGACCGACAGGTTGGGGCTGTCTTCATTGATCTGACTGATTGGCCTGAAGTGGTGGTGACGGAGCGCCGCCGACAACTTGGAGCTGTTACAATGTCTCCAGATATCCAGATCCAGAACGTGCGCCGTTCATACATACCTGCTTCCCGAAATGAACAAATTACTTACTCAGCTGCTACTCCGGATGAGCAGATTATCGCACGGCAAATTGACGCCGACATGGCCCGGAGGCCGCAAACCCCCCAGCTCAACTTGATCAGCCCCGACTGCTTACTTCTAGCTCCCGCAAGAGACAGCGTTCCGCCCGACTTGGGTCTGAAGGATCTCCGTCGCCATCAGTCGCCCAGCCCCGCAAACGGAACCGAGTAGACGGAATGGGATCACTGCTGAATCTTCGAAACTGGTGGAGACGTCCGGGAAATGATGGATCTGGTGGAACCGGAGCTGCTTGATCAGATCCGTATGGATTACTTGGGAGTGAGGCGATGAGCCTAAGGCGATGAGCCTGTTATTGTTTTTTTTTTCCTTTCCTTTCCTTTTTTTTTCTGACTTGCATCTGGACTGCGATGAGCAGTGAGCTCCTGGACTGTGATGAGCAGTGGGGCATTCTTGATACTGCGATGAGCAGTTTGGACCGGTACTGCATTCTGCAGTTTAAGCTGATGTTCCTGCGATGAGCATTTGGGGCGGTTTCTTTTCTTCTGAGTTGCGAATAGCTTCATTGACGAGGGCGTCAATTGTGTGGGGGGGACGCGTGGTGCTGAGTCACCCGGTACGTACCCGCCCGATAGCTCCTACTTCTGGGCTCCGACTGCGTAGCTAGCCTGTTGAGACTTCTTCCTAATACACACACACCTCTCGACTATCTTGACTTCCACCCCAAGGCGTGAGTGCCTACTATCCTACCATAGTCACTGAAGCATCGGCACTTGTGACCAGCCACGCACCCGCGCCATCGCCCAACTGGTCACGAGCCACATGCAGTCAAACACTGCACATGGCATGCTCACCATCGCAAGGTCGCCTTCGAACCTTCATGGCCCACCGTAGGAGTGAAAATTGCATCTGCAATCCAACAGAACAAGACTTGTTTGCGCCGGACACAATCATGCGGCGGGCTGTGGATGGTGAGTGGTCGGCGGCTCTTCTCGCAATTTCGGTGTGCATTGTGACGTGCATCGGTGTGTCCGGTATGTTCGGTGTGCAAACGAGCAAGATGCATGTGCTCTGAATAGATGCGATCAAGAATGAATGAGACAATCCCCGCAGCCTGGGTACTCGACAGCAGCGCCCACCCTAGGGCAATCAACCAAGTTTGAACATGATGATTGACTTGTTTGATTGGTTGAACTTGGCAATTTTACTTGCCTTCGCGTTGGATACATTCCCAGGATGCGTACCATCCTGGACAGATGGTACGGGCTGGTGCCAGACAGCGGCATTCGCAGCGTTCCTCGCAGGGAAGCTCCTGCTTAAGGAAAATTCGCACTGCACAGCAGGTGGTCACAGTCACAATAATTGCGCGGTACCATATGATCTGGATGGTATGGGCTGGGATGCCGGGCGGCGAACACACGTTTTCAGGGCTACATATCAACAGCGCTCTGCAGCTGCATGAGTCTGACCAGACTTCCAAGGTCCATAATTCCACAAATCAGTGCCCCACACCCAGAATCCATCATGTATTGCGTTCCTCCGCTCGAACCCAAGCGCACGCCCAGGTATAGCGGTTAGGCGCCTGGTGGCTTGTAGTCGCCATCATCGTCATCGGCATTGCGGCGTTTGCGCTTCTTGCTTGGGCCGACGGTGACGCTGCCCAACCGGAACTGGGCCAGCTGGACGCGGAATGTGAAGCGAAGTCGAGCCAACCAAGCGCGCTCAGTCAGGCCGGTCCGGGCAGACATTTTCGCCCAGTAGGCAGCGACAACGTCCAGGTCGACTCGCTTTGAGAGCTTCCACTTCTCGACGGCACCAGTCCGCACCTTGTACATGACGATGAGGCCATTCTTGGGGTGCACGCCGGCGCGCGCGTTCGTGATCACGGCGGCAGGGACTCTGGGACTGGTGGCGACGACGGTGTGGCTGTCCTTGGTCGGGTTCTAGACGGCTGCGGCGGCGCTGGTCGTGCTCTTCGTGGTTGCTGCCCGGGTCTCGGTCGGGTGCGATTTGTTGCCGTCGATGAACTTGAGGGTAGTCTGGTGGAGTTTGTTGCCCTTGTACGCTGTGAGATGGAAAAGAATGCGTCAATCTCCGATCAAACAGGCATTGGGGACTCTGTGGACGGGCTGGTACTCACCGGCAGGCTCAGTGGCAGGAGCCATCGTGGCGATGCTGATGCGACAACGGGGGAAATCTTGACCCTTTGGTAGGTAGGCTCTTGGTAGATAGAGCGACCTGAAGACTCGTCACGTCTCAGAAAGAAGCGCCGACACGGTTGGTTGGTTGGTCGCAACCTGTAGAGACGTGGAAGTGGGAAGTGTGAAGGAAGGAAGGAAGGAGTTCGAGAATCGAAGTTGACGCGAAGACAAACGGAAAGGACGCAGTTGGCCCGGGTACATCTCCCGGGGACGTACCTCGCCGCAGGCACCTGCCCTGGCCCATCGGTGTCGAGGGGTGTCGAGGGCCAACTGCCAACTTGAGGTGGGGCCAAGTGCCGAGTTCTTCAGGGACCACCTGCCAGTTTCTTCAGGGACCTACTGCCGATTTCTGGACTGGAATCGGCTATGTCCCTGAGGAGGTGAGGTGTCTACGGTACGTACCTTTGCTGGATAAGGTACCCAGATGAACCTTATCGGCTCGCTTATCTCGCACAGACAACTGCCACCATCTTTCCCTTGGCCAAAGGCATTGATGTGGGTAAGTGTACATCTCAGGGTGTACATTGGCCCACTTCTGTTTCTCAATCGGCTTTTTCCCATTCAAATTAACTTGATCCCAAAAACACCAACGTCGCCACCTCCGTTTGTGAGATCGCCAACTCGACGGTAACCATGCGGCCAACCCTGCTTCTCGCACAGTTCACGCCTCGTCGGCCGAGTGGCAGCTCCGATCCAATACTGTCGTCAACTTACCTTCCTACGCGACATTTCAGCGAGTCCAGATAGACGCGGGATCGAAATCGAGAAAGAGCTCGAGAAGAACGGGCGCTGACTGTGAAACAGCAGTAATTAATTGCGTTCGCAGAGCACACGTAATTCTCAAAGAACCGCATGTGGCCATGTTGACCAAGAGAGCGTCATGGCCTGAGGAATTGCGACCGTCCTACGAGGTCTGATGTCGCCCGTAATCTTGCTACTTCGCCAAGATCTCGAAAACGAGTCGTGACTTTTGCCGGAGCTGCTCGCCACCGGGCACGCAGGTCACAAAGCAATGGCATTGCGAACAAACGCATCGTCAATGTAACAGTGGGCTTGTCCAAGTAAGTCTTTGCCTTGGACTCGGCAACGTTGGCGTCCTCACTCTCAGATGAGGAAGAAAAAGTCGCTAGGTTGAGGAACTCCGGTAATCGTGTGAGACGGGGTGAAGGGCATGTGGTTTGCCTGCTTGGCATGAAGCAGTTGTTTGTCTTCGTCTGTATTGCTGATATGATGGCGGCAGATGAACTCGCAAGGCGCTTGGAATGCTGCCTGTACGTTGGCGCGGAGTCTTCAAGGTAGCCAGCGGCTGAGTTGTGTAACAGTTGAGGTATTCTCAGGACTACGGTAGGTCCCACACCTGATGGCGAAGCTTGCGCGGGAGAGACTCCATCGTCATGGAATGAATACACAGGCCAAGCGTGGAGAGACATTGGTAACTGCAACGTTCTATCGGATATGCTGCAAAAAGCATGAAAAGAAGAAAGAGGTAAAACCAAAAACCAAAAAATAACTAAAATAACTTCCCCGTGAATGATGCCGCCAGTTCCACCACCCAACGCTCGCTGCGTTATTGCTTCATGTCTCCAAACTCTACTTTTGTCCGTCTCCCTCATCCCATCCGCAAACCTCACCCACCTTGGCTCTCCGGTTGTGCACCCATCCCTGCTGAAGGTCCTTCTTGATCTCAGACTTGTAGAGCTGCTCTCCAGGCATAAAGTAATGTATGTACGTGCTACGGAATCCGGGGTCCATCAAAAGCTGAGCCACCTGGTTATAAAGTCTTCTCAGCGCTTCCATGTCCGCCGAGAGACGTTCAAGCTTGACCTTCGAACGCACATCCTTGTAGCTGATGAATTGGGTGACTCCAGACTCGGTGCTCTCTCTCGCACCCCGCTCCCCGATGATTTCGACCGTGATGTACGTCTTGTCTACGTCCTCCACAAGTCGCAGCCAGGCGTCCTTGATCAGCTTTTCCGCAGCGGCAGCCTTGGCGGCCCCGGCGGCGCCCCGTTGTGTGCTGGACCCGGGCGGACTGAAGGGGTGGCTGTAGGGATCGAGGCCGAGGAGCTCAAAGAAGGTCGGTGGTTGTTCGTGTGAGGGCACGTGAGATACGACGGCTGCCTCGATGGCGCAGATGTCGGCGATCTCCTTGGACACTGTTCATCATGCATTTGGTTAGCTGCTGACCGTAGATGTCTGAGTGGATGGTGATCTGTCTTACTCTCCCCCTTCTCGTTCTTCGCAGGCACTGGCACTGGCTTGGGTGACGGGGTCCGAGGCCAGAAGGTAAACGCCAATAGGGCAATGACCACGGCGCCAACAGGGGTCCACGATTTCCCGATCATCCTTTCCGGAAACGACCCTCCATCGCCAGATGCACAAGCTCCTCCTGAAGCTGTTGGGTTCTGTGCTGACAGTCTTGCTTTGTACCGAGTTCGTACGTCTGGGCCTGCGAGGCTGTCGTTTAACGAAGGGTGGAAAGGTCTCGACATAATGAACTTGTGGTTCGAATAATCAGAACTTCAGAAGAAACACTCCCGATGTAGTACGAGCAGGCAATTCTCTTATAAACATATGGCCTGCAGCGTCAAGTGGTTTTTGAAACCAACAAGACAATAAGCAAGTCAGATATCCCCAGAGGTTTCGAGAACATGACAGAACGCACATCCAAAGGTTGGAAATAAAGAGAGATTTCTGGACGAAGTGAGGATGGCCCTGAAACGAAATGTCAGTCACAAGTATAAATGCGATGACAAAGATGTGTGAAAGCATCACCGGTTCACTCCCAGCCACCCAAGAGTACTGCAGCTTTGAACGCGCATCATTCTTTGACTATCCGGCGTGAACTGCATCTAAAACAAAAAAAAGGAATGTTTCTATTGGGGAGGAAGCTCTAGGGATTATAGAATTTGAGAAATTTGAGAGATATGACCAATTTGACTGGAAATGCGAAAAGTAGAACACGCCAAACACAAACCCAAGGAAATAAGCATGTCGCATCGCAGCCGCTATCGTTCACTACTCACTTATCCGCACATTCCCAGGCGGGCATGACCCTGAACCAAGACTCCGTCTCTTCCTGAACTTGACGTAGCACAAGCAACATACCTTCTCGCTTTCCATATGCGTCTCGCGCCTTGCCCCGGAGCGTCGGTACTGTCATCTCAATGAGTTCTCCGAGGTGATGTATCTCCTGAGCTCTTCGTCAGTTGGGTCTGAAACCTCAAAGTTTTCTGTCCGGAGACATTGCGACGATCAAAGACTAACAGAAACAAGACAAAACAGAAACTAAGTGAGACAAGGATGGATCGACCGAGTAGAAACGCCAGACTCACCCTGTCAAGGCTCACAAGAAAGGCCGAGTGCGCCGCAGAGACGTCCAGCATCACCTGGCGCACCATGCAAACACCAGCCTCACTCGACTCAGCGGCGGCTCTTCTCTTCTCCACATCTTCATCATCACCATCGTGATTGCCATCCGCATCGCCACGGACTGCAAGCGACTTCTTCTCGACAGCAATGTCAGTCGCAAAGCTGCGAAGATCCCCCACAACAGCGTCGAAGTCTCCAGCGCCGAGTCCGCTGGCATGAAGATCATCCCAGTGCGCCTTGCGCTGCGCCCGTGCATCCATCGCGAGGCTCTCAAGCTCGTCCAGGAGGTTCAAGGTCACAGCCTGGTCCCTGCGGCCGGTCCAAAGAACGACCAGCCAGTCCGGAGTCCAAGCATACCAGCCGCTCACGGGTTCCTCCATCCTCGCAATCTCGATCTTGATGCGCCTGTTGAGACGGTGGAGCGCTCTGTAGGTTGTGGTCCGCTGCTTCTCGTAGGCCTCGTTGGTTCTCCTGAGGTTCCGGTCGATTCGGTGCGTGTCGGTGAAGACGTTCTTCCAGACACCGTCGCCCTTGGCCACGTCGGCGAGCTCCATGTCGCCCAAGACAACGATCTCTCGGGCGATGGCGGCCACGGAGGTCGAGACATGTGAGCTCTTGATGGCGGGGAATGTCCGACAAAAAGGCGGGAACGCGGCGTCTTCTAGAACCGCGGTCGAAGACGGAAAACCCGCGCAGAGGTCGGCGACGCGGGGGATGTTCCGGGCGATGAGGCGGTACTCCTCATTCAGGCACAGCTTGCGGTTGGCTGGAGACAGCAGGCAGAGGAGGACTGCAGAAATAGTCATCCGCCAATGGCGAAGAAGGAAGCCAGCAAAGTCGCCAAGTCTACCGAGCAAGCCGGGACGGCCGGTTGCATCGTCGGCATTGGTGGTGTTGTGTCTCTTACCATCGGCTTGGTAGTTGTGCTGATCTTCTTGGTGGATGTTCATATCTCCGTTCACGTAGTTGTTCGTCACAGCGACCGGCGTGGCAGCCGGGAGGGCACCGTGGGACGTCGGCGGAGAGTGCGCTACGTGTGAGTAAGTTGGGACAGGCACTTCTGGTTGAGGCCTGCTGATCACAGCGGTATCTAAATCAGGACGTTCCTGGGACTGTGAATGCAGAAGTGGCTCCTTGGACTGAGGTCTCAGGGGACAAGCCGGGGACCGAGGTTGCTGGGGAGTCTCAGCTGCATGATCTTGATGTGTGTCGCCCTCTGTACGTCTCTGCAGAGCTTTCATGTATCTCGCCATGAGATCTGGATCGGCCTGACGTGCCATGGTTGCGGGGAACCTATGCCAGGGGCTTGAGAAGACTGGGAGACAAATTTGGAAAGGTTGATTGATAGACCAAGGCAGCGCGAATGTTCTCAAGTGCCCCCCCAGAAGTTGCAAAGCACAATATGTTCTTGGTTCATATAGATGAGCGGTGACCCATGACGCGAGCAAGCCAGAAGAGCTGCACATCCTCTGTCTGATTGTCGTCTGAGCTTCACCATCATTCTATCCCAAATGATGTTCTTCAGATTAGCAACTCCCATCTGCTCTACAAATTCTCAAAGACTGATATCAGGGTCATGGCTCGTGGCTTGCGACGCGATGGGACTTTGGGTTTCAGGGGTTTCCTCGCTAAGGTGACTGGCCCCGTCCTATATGACATGCAGTTGGGGCTGACAGTTTGTAACTGATCTGAAATTGGTTCGTCAGGCGAGGGAAGTGAGGCGGGCGAGCAGTGGTTTCAGGCTTTTTCAGAGCTGTCATTGAATCCAAGACAGCTTATGCACAGACAAAGGCGTCCCCATGCATCATGTCTCGCCGATTCTGATGCATCACATCTTTCTGGTGACCGTAGAAAATGACAAGGCACAAAGAATGAGACGGAAGATGGAAAGGCAGCACCCGAAGGCGATGGAAGGCTCAAACGAATATTCCGCAGAAACCCCGCTCATAAGTCGTCTGTCACTCCCTTTTCTTTCTAGCGCCTAAGTCTCTCTCTCAATACATCTGACGAACCGTCACACCGATCGCAAGCGCAGAGACAGCATCGCAGCCGAAAATCATGGAGGGAAGCTCTCCGTCTCGCCAGACGGTCATCATCGACCGCTCGACCGACGCGAACGTCCAACGCTGTTACCAACTGCAGCGTTTCGCCGCCATCCTACAGCAAACCATCAAGGACAAGGGCGAGGACGCGCCGCAGCACTACGTCAAGACGGCCAACAGCGAATCTTTCAAATTGAACCTCGCCTTCGCCAAGAAGAACCACCTGATCAAGGACGTCAACGACGACAAAGTGCGCGTACCGCAGGAGTGGTTTGAGGAGGGCGACAGGAAGCTGGCCGCGCATCTCGGCCTACTCACCAAGTGGCGCAATTCCCTCGACAAGACAGTTGGAAATGGCGGAGCAGCCGCGGCCCCGGACGTCGAAGAGGTGGCTGATGCGGCGGTCGAGGATGCCTCTGTCCTTCCCGATGTTCCCAGCTCTTCGCATGCAGCTTCTGCGGAACAACAGTCAGGAGCACCAGCCATACTCCCAAGCCAAGAGGTGCTTCTTACAACAGCCGACTCTGTCTCTGTTCTTCCCAATGATCCTGGCCGCTTCTCTTCAGTATTAGCGGGACGACGCTCGGAAGCTCCAGCCGCAGCTTCAAACCGTGATGCGACGGCCTCCATCGTCTCGGGTATTCGGAGTGTTTTCGGGGGTTATCACGTCGAGGGTGGCTTTCCTCCGGCGTCGTCCTCATCTCCAAGCTTGTGGCAGACTGGTGCGGTTGCCGGCAAGACCTCCGGTCTTTCCACCGTTCCTGGCTATGCCTACTCCAATTTCGCGGGACAACACTCGGAAACGCCAGCCGCGACCGCAGACCGAGCAAAGTTCACTGTCGCGGGGGCTAACAATGCCTTTACCGGAGGTACTGTTCCCGGCGGGTTCCCCGCAGAGGATGAGGTGTCGGCGCAACAGCCGGAGGAACTGACCCCGGAGGAGTTGGCTCAGGAGATGGCCGACAACAAGGAGATGAGACGGTGGTATCGACAGTGGTACGCGCGCCACAAACAGAACAAGGCTGCAGCACGACAGCAGAACCGCGACAGCGCCATGGCTCAGTTCAACAACAGCGACGAGACACCGGTTACCCTGGCAGCATCCGCCCTAGTTGACGACAGCCTCAACAGGCCAGCGACCCAGAAGCATGCCAGGCGCACAAACACCCCAGCGTCATCCGCCATCCCCGCCCAAGTGAACGACCGCCCGAAGGGGCCAGAGCCTCGGAAAGGGCCCATGTGGAAGAGCAAGCCGGCGCCGGGACCCACGCTTCAGGTGCGGTCGAAGGAAAAGCCGGCTTGGAAGGTGTGATGGGGATGTGAACGCAAGAACAGGGCCCATGCGGAAGCTTGCACAGCGGAGAATGGCGAATTGGGCGGAAATGCGGCGGCGCTGGAGTCATATGGCTTGGCGGATGTAAGGCCAAGAAGGCGAGCAAGTTACCTTAGATAGACAAGGATGGATTGCAGTGGATCGTCGCGGTTGAAGTGATGGTGGAGAGATGGTACGGTACCCGTAGCTGTGTGGCTGAAATTGAACAACGGTGCGCCTCATGTGTGGCTGGTTTCTCTATGTGGCTTAAAGTGTGGTGGATCCGTCCTTGTGGCGTCCCCCATACGGCTTGCTTCCTCTGGCTCTTTTCTTTGGCTTCCCATCTGTGGCTTGAATCGCGAGTGGGTCCGCTGCTGCAATCACAATGCGATCAACAATGACTTCGGATGGTGATTGTCTTCTGCTTCTCGCCGCGACAATGAAGAACCAACCCTCCCTCGCTCTCGCGTTACACCCCAGCCTCCCACTCGACATGGCACTTACACCTCTCGTACTCATGGCATCCTCGGCCAACCTCGTCGTCTTCTCTGACCCGGAGGCACTCGACCAGACACCGAACATCTGCTGCTCCTGAAAATGACCACGAACAGCGCCCCAAGCAAACGCGGCAATAGCAACAGCAACAATGACTCTTTCGCCGCCCTTCAACTGTCCATCCAGCGACCAGGCCACGAGCCTCAGACCCTCCGACTCTGCTTCCACTCCGGCTGGCCTTCCCTCTCCGAGACGATCAGCCTACATTTCGACGGCCGAGACGATACCGATCGCAATACCTCGCGAGAACCGAACACGATTGCGAACATTGGACTCGGAGACGCCATCGGGTGCCAAGGCTCCATCCGCTGCATGCTTCTGTCTCCAGATTCCGAATCTGTCCACAATGGGGGATGCTGCCTGCAAGACTCGCCACCAGCATCCTCGCTAAAAGAGGCGGAGACGCAACATCCCGAGTTGAAGAGACGTCGTCCGGGCACCAGCCGCTCGAAAATACACCAAGCCGATGACTCCCTCAACGATGATGACGATGGCGATGATGGCGACACAACTGCTTTGCCAGTTAAGAGGCGGCGCTGTTCTTCAGGGTCCTTCGGGAGAAGCCTAGCCCCCATATCGGCATCGCCAGCTGCTCCAGAGTACAACTGCCTCGTTCACCTCGGTCTCGTCAAGCTTTACCCAACCGAACACGACGTCATTCTCAACCGCCTTCAACCATCCGTCATCCACCGAAGCCGAGCCCAAACCCTGCAGCAGCGCCTTCTCTGGCCCTTGACCTCTTACCTGCGCTGGTTCGGGAACTTGACCCGACTGCGCTCGATACCCCTGCGTGTCGCAGCATGCGCTGCCTTGGTAGTCGGTCTGGCTGCCCTACTTCGTGCTCTCCCACACCTGCCACTCGCTCGAGAGCGCCCATCTCAAGGCGGCCACACACACGCCTCTCCCTCTCCTCCTGTTCGCCACCTCGATCTACTCGCCCTCTACTCCGCAAACCTTGTCCGCTACGCTTCTGTGCCGAGGATCCTGTCTCTCGGCTTCGCCGCCGGGTCGTTGCACGAGCTAGCAGGCCGATATGCCCCGGAACCCCCCGCCTTCGCGTGCAACTCGGCCGGCCACTTTGTGCCAGAGGAGTACTTCCTGTCCGACCTGCGACTTGTTCTCCCTGACGTTATCTGGGACCTGAGACGCAACTCAGGTAGCACCGCCGACCCTCGCTCCAGCTCCGCCGATGACAATGTGGAAGATGGCGACAAGACCGCCCCATCCCTCGCCGCTCTTCAGGAACAGGTCTCCAGGGTCCTCTCCCGTCTCACGATTCTCAACGGCAAGATCCGAGCCTTTCCCAAGAACTGGTCTTCGGACGTGTTCCTCGCTTCGAGCTCGCGCCTGCTGGAGCTCGTCGAGGTCCGAAAACGCGAACCCGACGTCACAGTCTCGGCCAAGTACGAATCACCGGATACCACACCCGCCACCCTTGTCAGGCCTAACTGGTCCAGACTGGCCGAGGATGCTGACGTTCCGCAATCCTTCAGCTCAGCATGGGCGGCGTACATGGTCGCACGAAGCGAGCGGCGGTCGCCTTTGCATACGCCTACACCGCCGCAGCCAGGCCTCTCGTCCTCTACCCCGCCAACCGATTCAAATGGACAGGACAGGATCAACAACACCCATCAGAGCCTCTTGAAAATGGCCAGGAGGCCACTTGTGACGGTCAATCTCGACATTCCCGGAGAGGCCGCGCCCGGCCACCACGACCACGGATACGCCAGGGTCCCTCGGGAGCAAGTGCTGGTTCTCTACGCTGCCGTCCTCGACGAAGCTTACGCCCTGCTCTCAGACATAATCGCGCGTGTCAATCAAACCGTCGCCGTCGTGCCCGACCCGATACCCCCGAACGTGGCGCCCGACGAAGGGATGCGCTCACTCCTCGACAAACCCCCTCAATACGGCATCGCACGGATACATCGCGCCGCCCCGTTCCTACGCACCATCGCCCTCGCGCGCCTGGCTGACATGCGGGACCGGGCTCGCTCGGCAGTCCTCGTGCTCCGCGACGTGGTCGCACGCCAGTCGCCGCCCATCGACCCTGGCAGCGGCGGTGGCAGCAGCAACACCAATAGCACCGTGTCTGGGCCTGCAGCGACCTTTCCCGGGTGGCCAGTCATCGCCGTCGACATGGAGTTCGCCCACCAGTGGATCCGGACGGAGTATGAAGAATGCAACCTTGCGACCAAGATGAGGCAAGTCAACTTTATGGCCGGCGTCGACGAAATCGAGAGCGAGGATGAGGGCGGCCGCACACCTGAGGGCCTGGTCTGGAGCAGGTGGAACATGGAAGACGACCGGGAGGATCCCTACATGCGTGAGAGGTTGTTCTGGTGGCAGCGGCGGTGGCGGCAGGTACCCGGGCGGCGGAGCGATGGCGGCGCGCTGGGTAAGGTGCCAGGTGTTATTAGAAGCTGGTTTTCCTAGCCAACGAGACTTGTCACATTCCAACTACTTCCCTTCTAGCTTTACAAAAACGTTCGAGTCCATCCACGCGCGGTGAAGCACGAATACACACACACAGGTCATCCAGCATACTCAACCCCAGCAACACGATACAGATTCCGGATCGCCGTGCTGCCATCCTGAGGCGAAGCAAGCACCAACGAGATGGCCGCCAACCGCCGCTCGATCCCAGCATTGGCCACCGCAAGCATTCTCATGCGCTGCCTGACCTCCTCCACCAGCTCCTCCCTCTTATCCTCGCTCATCCTGCTGCCCGCGACCCCAGCCGTTAGCAGGAGCACGACCAGGGCACACCGGTGCATCTTGATGTAGATCTTGGCCTGGTCACTGAAGAGGGTGAATGGGGCGGCGCCAACCATGCGCGGACGTGTTTGAGTTCGGGCTCGGGTTTGGGTTCTAGGGGGCATGAGATCGTCTTGTTGTACTCGGGGCCTCTCGTCTTCTTCTTCGTGGCGGAGCAGCAATTGCTGCTGCTGCTGTGGCGGCGGCGGAGGAGGAGGAGAAGGAGAAGGAGGAGGACGGGGAAACGGCGTTCGGTGACGCTCACGCTGCTCGGCTGCTCTCACCATAGCCACGTACCGGTCACTGAGCGGACTGGCCGGGGTGGCGGCAACGACTGCAGGAGGGGAGTTGTCTACCACCGCGATGGCGGACGAGCGCGGCGGAGTCTGTGGTAGTGCTCGGCACTGGCGATGCTGCTGCTGCTGCTCCCAGGTTCGCGGTGGGAGCGGCGGCGGTGGTGAAGCGGGAAGACCGAAAAGAGCAGCGGCAGTCGATGAGGGCATCTCGAACGCGGCCAGGTTCTCCTCCAGCGTGGGCTGGGACCCGAAACCCGCGACGTCGAGCCAGGGCTCGCTGGCGGCCTGCTGGGGGCGGAGGCGCGGAGTCGCAGGCGGGGATGACAGTGTCTGGACAAGGGGCGCGACGACTTCTTCTGCGTCTTCGACAAGGGGGAAGGGCATCGGCTCATCCTCATCCTCATCATCAACATCCCGCGGCGGCGTCGGCGGGAGTTGCAGCGGCGCCTGTTTGCAACCATCCCATCCCGGTTTGGCCCAGGAACTAGTGTACGCCTCCCAGCGCGCCGTATGCTGGTTCTGCAGACCGCGGGCGAGCTCCACGTGGCCCTCTTTGGCGAGCTTCTTGAGGCGGTACTGGAGGGAGGACTTCACCTTGGGAGAGATGATGAGGGTGGCCTCGGGGTCGGCTTCGTTGCTCAGGCCGTCGCGAGCGAGGAGCAGGTTGAGGATCTCGAAAAAGTAGAGCGTGCCGTAGTTGCCCAGATGGAGGCGGTGGCGGGCGAGGTGTGCCTCGATGGCCATAATGTCGGCGGGCCCCCAGCGGATCTGGATGCTGCTGGAGCCGACGAGGGTGACGAGGTCGATGTCGCGGAAGGTCTGCTTCTTTGAAGCGGACATTGTGACTGCAGCACTTGGATCAAGGCAGCATGGAGGAGAAGGGGTCTTGGGAGATGAGAAGGTAAAAGGAGAGGAGAGAGAGGGATGGTGGACGTTTGCTAGTTGCGTTTGCGGGGTCATTGTGGTGGTTAGGGTGGTGGTGGTGGGAGAGACAAAGGACGGCAGACTGCATCATCACCTTGCATGCATGTCCAATATGGCAACGAACAGCTGGGCCTTGGGATTCCTGCAGCTAATGTCTTTTCGAATCGCACTACTAACTAGCATGATGGATTAATGGCTGCACTACCTGCTGAACGACAACCACCCATACAGGTCTCGTTCTCATTGTTGCTCTAGAACAGGTTCATCAGGTCATCAATGTCCCGCTCCCTGGTCGCCCGGGCTGTCATCCTGCCCTTGCCCTTGCCCTTGACTGTCTTCTTGGTTGTCTTGGGCTTGGCCTTGGTTGGTGTCGACTTGGCCGGTGAGGACTTGGCTGGTGTTGACTTGGCTGGTGTTGACTTGGCTGGTGTCGACTTGGTGGCCTGGGGTCGATGGCGGCTGGGGCCGGCGACCACCTCCGGCTCAGGATCAACGTCTTCGACGCCGTGCCGGAGCATTTCGTATAGAGCCAGGCGCATTTCCACCTCCGCACGAGCCGTGCTCTCGGAAGACACGACAAAGTTGCGAATGGCAACGCGCACTCTCTCCTTGTTAACCATGGTCTCAGGGACGTCTTGCTCCAGTTCCTCCTCCTCCTCTTCCTCCTCTTCCAGTATCTCCTCCTCCTGCTCTTCCTCCTCCTGCTCCTCCTCTTCTTCTCCACCCTCTTCCTCCTCGTCAACCAAATCAACATATGTGGTATTTCGTCGTCCGGCGGTTCTCTTGCTCGCGGGGGCAGCGGTGACCGGTCGTCGCGTCGGCGCGGACCGTCTCACTTCTCGGAGGCTTGTCGCTGCGTTCAGGGGCTGACCCGGGAGACGTCCACGAGGCTCCGACCGGGTGCTCCTCACTGTAACATGTCAGTAACATGTCAGCCATGGAAGAGGAAGGGCGAGAGTCGCAGGGGGAGAGGAAGAGGGAGAGGGTCTTGAACGAACAGTCGAAATCATCGCGCGTGAGCAAGAACTTGTTCGTGATAAGCTCCTTGTTTGCGTTGACGAATGCTTGGTACTGTTCGTCGCTGATGTTGCTTGGCAGCGAGCTCAGGTGGGAGAGGTCCGTCTGTCGAGGCATTTCTGCGTGTCTCATCCGTCTGGATGAAGCATTGAGAGGCTGCGGTGGCTCTGGGGAGGGAGGAAGAGCGGAAGGTGAAGGCTGGTGGTGGTGGTGTTGTTGGGATTCATGGATGGATGGCGTCCGTTTGTCGTTGCCGCCTTTGACTGGCTGGAACCTTCTCCCGTCTGCTGGGTTCTGCCAGCCCTGGTCTGCATGGCAGACGGCTCGCGAAGATACCACAACATTCGGCTGAGGGCTGCCAGAGGATACGTCAAGTGGTCTGGGCCCTACCCGTCAGGCGGTTCTGTTGTGATGTCTAGCGAAGTTCATCAACGGGCCATCGTCGCTGGGCCGCATGCAGATAAGAACCCCCACCCGGGCCATATCCTGCAGATCAGTGGGTGGCAGCCCGTGCTTCAGGGCACTAACCTCAGGGTCTAAGGCAGTGCTGTCGGGTGGGCCCAGGTCGGCAGCACCTCCCTACCAGCCAGGTCCCACTCCAGCGCTAAGCATTCAGCGCCAGAAAACGTGCGTCTGCCCTTAGGTAAAGCCAGCCGCCGCGGTCCCCTCCCCTGATCCTGCCTGGTGCTCCAACAAACAAAACGGATGCAGGGACTCAGGGAGGGGAGGGTATTTGACCACAGCCAACCAGCCATCTGCATTTCCTCCCACCTTGGCATCTGAAAGGTCTTTATTCCTGTCGAATTTTCGTATTGAGTGTGTTACGAGCGTATGGGACCACCTGGAGGCGCGCGAGAGCAGTTGGTGGTGGTAGAAGCGCCCATTTGACCGTTCCACCCCCGCACCGCCACAGGGCCGCCTCATCATCCCAAACGCCACACTGTGACCTCATTGTCTGTACCTGCATGCTCTGGCCCAAGCTCCGGCCCATGCTCCGAAGCTCCATACCAGTCAACCGTTCAACTGCCAAAGAAAGAGGACATCGACTGGCCACTGTGACCTTGCTGTCCTTGCATGTCTTCATGTGGGGAGACATCACTGCATATTCGCTGGTCGGTCCTTCGATCAATCCGGACGGGGGGCCCAAAGGTAGGCTCTTGTGACTTAGGGTCATCGCTAAAGTGGTCTTGACGGTTCCGTCTTGGACTATTGATTGTGTTTCCCTTGATCGTATCCGAGTCCCCGATTGGCGGGTTTTGGAACGGATCGCCTTCTTCCTTGGACCCTCAAGAGTGGCCGAGGATCATTGGGCGGTTGTTCATTCCGATGCGGCTGTTATGCAGGGACTTGACTTCGTTGCGCAGAGTTTGACAAGGTCACTGGCGGGTGGGCAGGATGTTGGTGACCTTTCAGGGCCTCCCCTCTACGCCGTGGCACAGGTGCAGTCTGCGGGTGGGGCTGGGATGCCGACGCGCCCGTCGGCGCTGATCGAACCAGGCTAATCGGGTCTGGATTTCCCAAGGTGTCGATGGAAGATGTTTGATTGAGTGCTCGGTAGTCAATCAAGGTAGTGAGCACCTGAGGAGTTCAAGACGAGACGACACGGCTGAAGGTCAGGGTATGACGGACGACCTTTTTGGCGGGAAGTGGAGGTTGGAGGGACGCTACCTACGGTATCTGTTGGTAGGTAGGGCCGTGGTGGGGGCGGGGTAATTGTACAGGAACCACCAAAGACTTCAGGTGGGAGCTTTCGCGGTGCTACAGTCGTAGCAGCAATTGGATGTCATTAACGTAACAAAAGGTCCAGGGCAAGTGCAGAACCTTGATGCCTTCCAGACCATGAACCGGACAGACTTGAAGGCGTGCACCCCAACCATCATGACTCACCCCAAGCTGTCCTGGGCAGGTACCACCCACGCAGGAGTTTCCTATGCTGAAAAAGTCCCCACGAAATTGGGGACTTTTCCTGCAAGCCACTATCCTCAGCCTCACTATGCACCTTGTCGCCAGGGGACTTGACGAGTCGCGCCGTCGAGGCGGCCGCACCATGTTTGCTGAGTCTTGTTGATGTCTCCTGCGCAAGACGTTGCCCAGGCAGGCCAGGTCATTGGCTGCAAACTCTCAATCTTGGGCCTCACGCGTTCTCGCCCGGTGCAGCGGGCCGTCCGAGCTTTCTATCCCATCGCATCGCGTCTTGGGGTGTCGTCGTCATCAATTGGGAGGATGGCGACAGCAAGCATTCATGGCTACACAGCTTGCATCCGGTTTCGATGCAAGCGCAACACAGAATGCCGTGCATCATCAGATGGCAGCGGTCTTTGAGGGTGGCTGCGATCGAGACCATGACATCGGATTGGCGTGGCTGCTGACCGTGCTCGCACCAGGTCATGGGCAGCTGTGATTGGCGCTTGAGGGTCCGTACCATCTTCTGCGGATGGTACGGCTCTCTGATTGGGCACACCGCCACAGCTTTGGACCCCGCTCAAAGTCTGAGCCAGGCGCATTGGGAAAGCAGACGCGACAGCAGCGGGTGGCAGTGCAGCTGGTGCTGACATAAGACAGTGACGAATCGGGTACTGTACCCCCTTGCAGGAGCATGGTTTTCGAGTGCTCCAGCTGTCTTCCTGCAGAGGCACTCGACCCTTTGACATCGCTGCCTCTATTACAGGTTGGCCAAACCTGGCATTCACCCATTCTTCCATCCCATCTACGACTGACAGTCCTTCCGGTCAGTTTATCTGCCTCGACACCATATGCCAACTGCTACCCTCGTCTGCGACGATGCCTCCCGCGCCCCGGCGCCCTCTCTCCCCGACGACGATCACGACACCCTCCTGCCACGATACTCTCCTCTTAAAGCTCCAAAATCGTTGTCAATCCAGCACGAGACACCACCCGGTAGACTTCAAACTCGAAACAAGGCTCATTGATCCCTCCTCTCGCCAGCGCATCCCCTGCGGCTCAGGGGAATCTACAGCGAGCTGCGCCCTCGCACGACCCCGATTGTGCGTCAGTCCTCCATCACGTACCCTGGACATCGACTGCATCCTCCACAGGCCCCGAAATGGATGTGCTCGCACTACGAGCCGCATTTCCAGGCACATACCATCGAACGACGACACGGACTGGTCCCTACCTTCGCCCTCCCCCATCCTCCTTCGCTGCGGCAAGACCGGCGTGTCACAATCCTACCTCCGCCCCGAAACTCCGACAATTCTTGCCATGATCGCACCCCACGCCCAGCCTCGGCCTTGTCGCCGCCCTCTGCTTCGAGACCGTTCTGCATCGGGTTCACGCTGGTCCCAGTTGAGGCTGACTCTAGTTTCAACAAGCCGATGGCTTAGCTGGAGGCCCCGCGAGCAATCATTGGATCCTGCTCTACATGGAACACGAGAACACTGCACAATGGAAGCTAGTGGTCACAAGAACCGAGTTGATTAAGCATTAATCTCAGGCAAGGCGCATACGTTGAGCGAATCGCCGCGCAGGCGAGACGGCCGAACTTGTCTAGGCTGACGGCTACAGACACATCTTCTCCCAAATGTCGTCAACAAGCGCATCAATCGCATCGTGACGTCCTCGTCTTGCGACCTTCCTCTTCTGCTTCCTCTTCTCCCGAACGTTCGAACCTGTCTCTTCTACCTGTTCGACAAAGCCCTCCTGCGAACCCGAGCTTCGATCCATCGTCATTGCATCAGCGTTGGTGCTCGCTTCGATACCGATCGTAACACTGGTGGCTGCGATGGTGCTGGGATGGAGCTGCTTGACTGCGGCAGTAGGTCCAGATGGGTGGACGGCAGGAGGAGTGGTGATGCTGCCCTTCTTGACGGCAAGCTTGAGGATCGTTTCGACCTTGTTGGTGAACTTGTCCTCGAGGACTCGGTCGATGTACGGAGCGTGGACCTTGGTCTTGGGCTCGGCCCCGGCCCTGACCCCGCCACGGGGTTTGTCCTCCGCCGAGAACCGAATGCCGCAACTGGCCGCGAGCTGAAGAATCCAGCGGCGGGAAGGCGGCTCGAGCTTGCCGCGCTGGATGACGGCGTCGATGACTTCGCGCTCTGTCGCAGGGCAGAGTCGGAAGCGGAAGCGGCGGCGGTTCTTGAGGTTGTCTTGGTAATAGGAGATGGGCGTGCCGCAGATTGCGCGTGCGCCGGGACGCTGGCATCAATCAGTCAATCGTCGGTGCCATTTGGAGGATTTTCTTGCTACGTAGGTCATAGTTACCTGGGTATGTTTGCACATGGCACAACGCTTGCGCTTGAGAGCTTGTGTTCGGAGACAACGGGCTTGCGTGCTCGTGTGGACGTGTGTACGGGTGCGCAAGAGGGAGAGACGAGCGTCTCAAACAGTCCGACCTCTCTAGCTTTAAGGCAGCCGGCTGTTTGCTCGATGCTTCTTGCGATGCCCTCAATCCAGGTCCCGATTTCCACGGAGCTGGAGCGGTGGGCACACCGCCGAAGGGTTCCTGCATACTGGTTCAAGCCGCATCCCGCGCGCGAACATGTTCGTCGCAAGCATCCATGGCATGAACATGTTCACCGCTGACGTCCGTCAACGGGAAGCTGCGGTAGTGTGATGCCGGCAGACAGCCCGTTCGTCGGGTCCGCACCCTCCCCCCTCCACCCTTTGCCTTCACCAGATGGAAAACCCCGAACTGTCAGGTTCTGTATGCACCACAGCTTGCGTTGGCAAGGCGCTGGCTTCCACTCTCAATTTTTGTGTATAAGAAGAGTGGCTTCGCTGTTGATGGTCCCTTCTTTTCCTTTTTCAATCAAGCATCTGGGTTCTCTGACTCTGATGGATGAATTATTGGGTTTCGGTGTCACCGTGTGTAGCAAAGTCCTCTCGCCCTTGGAAGCATCCCTTGCTCTTAGAAGCATCTCGCTCTTGGAAGCATCTCGCTCTTGGAAGCATCTCGCTCTTGGCAGCATCTCTTGCTCTTGGCAGCATCTCTTGCTCTTGGAAGCACCCCATCGCTCATAGAAGCACCGCTCCTAGTAGCATACCTTGCTCATAGTAGCAACTCCCTATGGATGATTTGACTGCCGCTGACGCATGCGCATGCAGCAATGCAGCGGGTAGGTCCCGGTCGCGGGGCATCTTCAACCCCGCAAGTAGGTTCGTGCCTCACAACAGGACCTGCGTTTGAGCGTGGATGACTAAGGTGAGTCAGTCTGCCGGGACACGATGTAATAAATCACGTAGAGTACTGAACCATTTACATGCATGAGCCTGCTGCAACATGCGTCCATGCAGCATATCGTGATGAAGAGTGTTAGTAGGCCGGCCCACCAGGACCGTCCTCGCCTGCTGTGCATCGCCGACGAACATTACCTGTAAAGTGCATGCATAACGGCCTGTGTGTTAATTTGTAGGTGAAGGCACTCGATGCAACTTTGGCTACGCGCACCTGCACACCGGCCTTGCATAATATGCATCGTCACGCCCTGCCCGCCTTTTGCTCCTGGGGCCAATAATTACATCCTTGGGGAGAAAAGTCTCGGGGCGGAAGGATTTGTGGTCACATGTAGGCGGCAGTTGGACGTGAGCAACTTCGGACGGACAGGCGATAGTGTGGTCGCAGCTCGTGGAGGGTAGCGTCGACGGGCGGTGCATCATGGCTTAGCCTCTTAGACGTGAAGGCAGCGTTTGCATCTGCTTGCACACGATGCACACGATTGCGGTCAGAGTCCACCATCAGAGGCTACGCAGAGGTTCTGGATCGTAAAGCCAGCAACAAATTGGCATAATGCCGCCGCCGCCGCCTGCACGGCATGTCCGCAGCTTCTCGCTGGTTGTTGGAACTACGATGGTGATCTCAGATGCCTGGCCTTGGCCTGGACCCCCAAGCTTGACATCACGCTTGAAGACGGCATTCCTACACCCTCTCGTCCCGACCTTACCATCCTCTCTAAATGAATGCGCCGGTCATCATAACACATCGATGGACAGAAATCAGCCTGGCGATATCGGTGCATGTCTCGTGGAGCAGGTACCGTCGATGCCGCTGCCAGCCTCCCAGTCGAGCTCGTCGGCTTCAAGCCTGATTGAAGTCACCGCAATGTCATCCTTTATCTATACCCTCGCAGACAGTGCCTATCACATACGACCATACCCATTGGAAAACTCGGGATCCCGTCCGCTCTCCCATAGATAAGCCAATGAGGGCTGGAGTAGTAGTCGGGTCGGTGACGACCGGCGAATGCCCGGTGTTGTATGTTTCTTTTTTTTTGCTGGCTATGGCAGTGCTTATTACACCCAAGGCCAGCCAACTCAACTCAGGACCTTCCAGTGTGTGTGTGCATGGACGTCAGGGCTTGAGAAGACCTCGCGCCCAGCAGTATCTGACTTCGGTTGGGGGTGTTTGATGGAGAAAGAGGCGGGGAACTGTCTCGACCGGTCTACGTAGTACAAGTGCATCTTGGGTTTTCGCGCGCAGGGAGAATTCGTTGGTTCCTGACGAGGAAGGTTTCACGGAAGAGGATATGTTGCCGACCTATTCTGGTTGAAAGTTAGCCCGTTTGTCCCTTCTCGCACCAGACTATGCTGCAATGGCTTGCTGAACATAGGGAGCGACTCAGCTTCTTAGTGTTTGCGACGACATTGTTAGAGTTGGGCGGGTTGTTCGATATGAAGGAGGTTGTGGCGGGGAAGGCCATCTTTCCAGCGCGGTCCCGCCCAGCCTTATCGGTCCAAGCATGTCAACTCCGGGATCGACATAGGCGGCTGCGCGATTGCGACCATCCCAGTTGCCCCGACAAGGTAGATGATGATTCCAACGTCAACACGGCCGACCGATCCCATCAACCCAGCAAAACGCAGCATCAATCAACCCTGATCAATCCGATTCGCAGTACTCGACAAATCTTTCGACCGTCCGACTCAATTGATCCGAAGGGAGAGGGGGTGCAACACCAACTTGGAGCGAGAGGTTCCTCGTCATGCTCGTCAAGTGGGGACCACAGCTTGCGTCGGAGCTCGGCTTCCAGGGGATCGGCACTCGTGTTGCGGCATGCTCATCAGCCTCGCCGGGTTCGCCATCGGTGGATTCGTGTATCCGGGCGCGATATGTTGGGTTGGAGGGCTTTTCAAGCAGCACCAACCAGGAAAGCCGATTGCAAGTGCGTTGAGGTAGTAAAGATGTGGGCAGAAAAGATGCCAGAAGCTCACAGTCTGCCTCTGCTCCAGCACAGACCATTGCATCCTTGTAGTTTGACGGGAAGCTGGTGCGATGCTTCAATTTGACGGTCTGCAAGTGCACTAAATGCGTGCAAGTTGTCGCAGTCGCGTGTACGACTTTTCGTTGATCGCACTCATAATGATAACTGCGAGGGTCTTCGATAACTTTTGCCTGGCCAAAGCGGCGCGATTGGCTTGGCTGAGTAGCACCGACTAATCATGTGGTAGCGATGACAGACAGTGAAAGCGTGGGAGCATTGTCCTGTGTGCCACTGTGTTGTCTTGTGGCCAATCAGAGACCCGTACCATCCTGGGCAGATGGTATGCCCCGCTACGCGCCAATCACACGTAGCCCGTGACAGTACTAGCCCGTCCAACGACCATCTTCCCGGAACCGGGTCTCACGGTCAGCCCCAGGATCGGCGAGTAACTCTGTAATCCGCAGCGAGATTGCATATTACACACTTGGCCTGTCGCTCATGCGTTCAGCTACAAATTCGACCTGAAGTGACTGGCAAACAAAAACCTCTTGTTCTGAATCGCGGCAGTCTCTTCAACGCCAAATGGACGAATAAACCCATCTTCAGGGCTGCGTTCGATCAAACAGGAGCTTCGGCCCTCGGACCTGTCTGTTCGACACTCGAACGGCTTGCACTCGGCTAATTGGCTAGGTTTGAAGTGATCTGGTGAATTTTATATGTGATGTATGAGTTGGCGGTATGGCTGCGGGCACCTACGTTTTGCATGGAAACTTCTTAGGGGTCGAAGGTTCGAAGCTTGGGCTGAGCGCCCTTTTTTCTTGGCCGGGGGCCGGGACATTGTGGGGCGTGCGGACCCGTGGCCGGTTTCCGTGTGGGTCCTGTCGGCACCCGGCCCCTGGACTGATCCGGATACCCTCGTTCCGATCGACCTACTCAAATCGCGACCCTTGTGGATGTGACTATTTAATACTGGGAATAGTCTCAGTTTGATGGATTAATTGTTCCGGTTCGTTGGGTCTATTCTGAGTGGATCGATGCCCATCACACGTCGTTCAGTATCCGCCAGCTTCGTTATAATCAGGGCTTCACATGCTGGTAATGTAACGCTTGACCACTTGTTCGATTTAGTTGAATGCATCAATCCTGCCCGGCCTCGGGTGTTCCATACTGTCAGTCTCGCCAACCGTTCCGAATCTGGAGCCAACATTCATTCATTCGCCTCGTCATTTGCCAAAACGGCGGCATCGCTGTGTCAGACTACGACTGCCAAGAAGAAAAAATCGTTCCGCGACAAGTTCTCAATTCACCAAGGCCATCAAAAGTCGAGACGCAAGCGTCCCTCGTTATGCATTGATAGATAGCACCGATTGTTTGCGCCTTGCCTTTGCTCTGACGATGTATTCTAAGACTTATGTTCTTTCAACAGATCTTGGGTGAAGCTCAATTTGTTGCCCCGACAGGCACCAAAGCCCCCCGAAGTATGTGAGAACGTGCAATCCATCAAGATCAAGAAGAATTACAACCACATATAAGCGGTCAGCGTGTGGTGTAAAATATTTTGGGTTCATATTGAAACCAGACTTTGTGATGGTGAATGAGACCGCCACCTTGGGCGGATGTCTGGCACGGACAGGAACAACCCAGGCCGCGTTTGTTACGGGATTTTTGGCCACAATTCAAGCGCTAGCACGCTGAATACGCCATGACAAAGCGTCATCAACTTGGCCTTTCCCCCACCGAACATGATGCTCCAAGACTCAGTACTGCGATGGCGAACCCTCCAAACGCCTGCGTAACGTCTGTTCTAGAGCTTGGTTTGGACATTTTCTCGTGCGCTGGTTCAGCTTGGTGATATCGGCTCCGCGGGTATTACGTATCAGGAAGCCCCATAGAAAATCCGCCTACCTCGAAGTTGTTGCGGTTGAGGATAACATCGCCTTCGTCAATGCCTTTTTTCTGGTTGCGGTCATGCTTGAAGCCTGGACTGAACACTCGCGTGTTCAAAATTGCTCGACGAAAATATAGCATTATTTCGATAAATAACATCGGGATCTATCA